AGGGGGGAAGAAGTAACAAATTACAAGGTTATGTCATAGGCACAGCCTCAGCCGCACCCGTGGACCTCGTTGTCTGTCCGGCTCCTGGCTCAGCCCTGGACACATGGGGACACAACAAAGCCTGGTGTCCTTAAACTGAATAGGTAAGTGTCGGCCTGTGTGACTCATTTGGCCCGGGAGAACCATCTCCTCCTGGTCCTGGCTTAGTCACGTGTGCTGAGATACAGCACTCACAGCTTTAGGACGATGAATCTGATCCATAGTAACTCCCTAAGCAGAACTGTGAGCAGTTTATCCAGCCCACCCCGTGCCTCCCTCCATCTCCTGCTCCTCAGCCCTACAGCCGACCTGCTCCCCAGGGGCTGTTCAGAACCCCAGTACTGGGCTGTGAGAGAAGGGGTGACCTGGAACAGTCCTGGGCACAGCCCACTGCCCTCTGGGTGAGAGAAGAAATGGCAGGTATCCTGGGTCCTTCCGCCTCTGGGATCCTAGCCTCTTATCCACTCCTCACAAGACAAGGCCACCTGAGTACCATGAAGGAGAAGCAACAAAGGGGAAGGGAAAGGCTGAGGGGGCAGGGAGGATATGCGGATAGGGAACAGACAGGCCATCCTTTATTGATGGGCTCATTAGCTATTGATGAGAACGGCCTTCGTGTTGGCCTTGTTGCCTGTCCCAGAGAGCCGAGCTGTGGTGGGGCCAGGGCATTCACGGTGGGCTACAACACCTCCTGAGCCAGAACGCAGATCCTGACTCAAGGAACCGGTGGGTCACCAGGCTCTGTGGGGCACCGACTCCTCTCCAGGGTGGAGGCCCACAGAGCACCGGCTGCTCTGTACATAGGAAAACGAGCCAGTACCCCACCCCCATGCAGAACAGCAAAAGATCTAGTGTCCCAAGATGTCCCAAAATATCCATGAGTAGAGCCTCTTGTGGAGTAAAGGCGCTGTGCATCCACGGATCCCTGGAAGCCAAAATATCCATAGGCAATTTCACCTTGCCAGGCATTGATCTGAGTGCTTTATATGTATCACTGCAGTGAGATCCCACGGCGACACTGGCAGATGTCCTATTATTCTCATTCCTGTTTATAGATGAGGAAATGGAGGCTCAGGGTGGTTAGGTCATTTGCCCAAGGTCACACAGCTAGTAGCTGAGCGAGCCTGGGTTTGGACCCGGCAATCAGCCCCAGAGCCTGTGTCCAAAACCATTGTGTGGTATTACCTCAGGGAGATTAAGGGGTGCACTCAAGGTGACCAGCAAGTAATTGTAAAACTCAACACCAAGTCTTCTAACACGAGCTCGGTCCATCGCACCTCTCTGCCTCTCCTCGCTGTGACCAAGTGGAGCCCCTCAGGACGGTGAGGGCAGGGAGCTGGCCAGTGCCCTCTCCCCATGGCCCTGTCAGGGTGAGGGGTCCTCTCTTCTCCAGGCCGGAGCTCTCCCAGGGAACCTGAAGGGATATATTGGAGTTGGAGAGAGGACTCTTCTCCAGTTAGTAGGGTCAAGGTTCCTGTCGCCCCGAGAGTCAATGGGACTGAAGCAAGCCCCTAACCCTACCCCTATCCTGGCCCGTCTCACAGGAACCTCGGGGGAAACCTCACACAAGAACCTGTCCTAAGGTGGGTGGGGTGTGCCTGGGTGGCTCATTCAGTTAAGCGGTTAAGCATCTGCCTTCAGCTCAGGTCATGATCTCAGGGTCCTGGGATCGAGCCCTGAGTCGGGCTCCCTGCTCGGCGGGGAGCCCACTTCTCCCTCTCTGCTTCTCACCACTGTTCATGCGCTTGCTCATGCTCGCTCTCTCGTGCTCTCTCTCTCTCTCAAATAAATAAATATGATATTTTTAAAAAGAAAGAAATATCCTGTCCTAAGAACCTCAATGCCAACGGTCACTGAGGAGCCCCACAAAACCATGCCTGACTTGATCACTCACTTATGAGCAAAGTATCCTACAGGCTAGGGGTGACAAAGAGGAGACACAAGGCCACCGCTGCCCCCTCTGTACCTACATGTTATTACCGGCTTCGTGGAAATGTCCCAAGCCAACAATTTGTTCAGCCTCCAGGTCAGAATCTGATCTGTGCACCGTTGGCCAGGAAGGGTGAGGGTCACCCTTTCCAAATTCACTCTGCCCGATTTGCCATGGGTGCCTGCACCTTCACCTGCCCGCCGACGCTGACCAGATCCTTTCTCAAGCTTCATCCAGACACAGACACAGCAAGGGCGATCCTGTTTCACAGAAGGATAGGATTTCTGCATCCTGGGCATCAGCCGGGCAGGGTCCTTCCTGCCAGTCCTCTGTCTGCCCTGAGACCAGCAGATGCCCTCAGCCATGGAGAGCTGACCTCGCCGAAGCGTGCAAGGCTCACACAGGCCGAGCAAGAAGTACCTTCTCCGTTGCTCCTGCTGGTGAGTTCTTGGCCATATTTCCCCCCTCTCACCCACACTTCAATCTCTGCAACTGGATCTTAACAGCTGTATCAAGGGGCCCTGAGCATCTTTCCCCCAGAGTTCCAGAAGCATTCTGGGGAAATTCAATTGCATGCATGGTAGCCAGCATGAGCTACCCAGGTTGGCCTGTTTCCCAGCATGCTCTTAGGGAGACACATTATTCTTATGGTCTACAGCCCTAGCTCAATTTGCTTGGAGCCTTCCAAGAACACCAATTCCAATCCTCCATTAAGCTTAGGCCTTCTCTCTGTGCCAGAAGAAGGCAGATCTGTCCCCAGGTTTCCACCCACTATGCCCATTTCTGCTCCAGAAATTCTGGAGCCTTCTTGAGGCTCAATGCCCCACTTTAATCAGGAGAGTAGACAGTAGCCTCCGTGGTATTTTGTCAGGCACACGGCAGCTTCCGTGGCCCGCCCCACCCACGGAGGCAGAAGCCTGCAGTTCCACCATAAGGGGAAGTGCTTTGTTTCATTAGCCATGTCTTTGTGTACCATTCGATGAATATCCAACAAGTACTGACAGAGTCCCTTCTGTGTGCAAGGCATTGGGGTGACAGGAGGTCAGGAGTTCCTCCCCCAGACCTCTCTGCAGGCACCGTCATTATACCTGCTTCACAGACCAGACACTGAGACACAGAGAGATTAAGCAACTTGCCCCAGGTCTAACAGCTTAATACATCCTAGAACACAGCTAAGGGGGTGGTTCTTTAGAGGGATGATCCCAAGAAAATAACACAAGATTGGGGGTCTCTGCAAAAAGGAGAGGCTGGCATTTGATGTTGTGCTATTCAATGTCAACACTCAGCCACAGGACCTGCTCTGCCGCTTCTTCCCCCGCCCCTCAGGAGGCCTGGGCAGGAAAAGGGAGGGAGAAGGTGGGGTGTCCGACTGACTGTCAGACGGAATGGGGCCACGTCGCTCCTCCCCTCCTGTTCCCTGACCCCTGAATTGGCGGCAGAGACCAGAGGAGGCCGGATTCCATCACAGCATGAGAGAAAGAGGCGCACACAGGATGCATGCGCAACAGGGCTGAGCAGGGAGCCCTGAGGTGCGTGTGAAGGAATCCGCTGGAGCCCTGATACAGGGCGACTGGACCCACCCGGCGTGAGGAGGACCTCTCTGGTAACCACCTGGATGGGATGGCAGACAGGAAGGGCAGGGGAAGCAGCCATCCAAGCAAGAGGTGAAGCCAGAGCTGGCCGGCTTCAGGAGAGGAAGGAAGCACAGGAAGGGGGGACCTCATGGCCACAGATGCCCAGGATTTGGAAACTAATGAGGTGCAAAGGCTGGAGAGAAGGAGACCTCCACCTGAACAGGGGACAAGACTGGGGCACACATCTGGGGAAGGAGAAGACAGTGTGGGCTCAGACAATCACACTGGTTATGCTCTCAAAACCAGGCCACGGCAAGGCAGCTACTCCCAGGGCAGCCAGGAGCAGGCCCCTCCCTCTGCGTGGCACTTACCACGCGTCCACATGTTCTAAGTGTCTGACAACCACTCACTCCTGTAATCATCCTGGCAGCCCGATGATACACAAAGCCTCCCCATTTGACAGATGAGGAAACTGATGCCCAGAGATTAAATGACTAGTTACAAACCCAGGCCTGCCGTGCTTATAACCACGGAGCTAAAACTGCCTCCTGGGAGGATGCAGCAAGGGTGCGGGGAAGGGACAAGGCAAGTGTAGGTGGACTCATCAGTGATGCATTGCAGCATGCTTCTGAGAAAATCAAGGAAGCTCAGGGAGTGCACCCGTCCCTTGCCTTGGGTGAGGCTGCCCAGCAGCATGGGGTGAGTGTTAGGTCTCAAATAAGGGAAAGGAGGCTTGAGTCCCTGCACTGCCACTCTAGGCAGGACATAGGGGTGGGCAGGTGGGGCAGGTGGTCTTATGCTCACTTTAAAGATAAAGGAACTAAATCTTAGGAAGCTAATGTGACGCTCCTAAGAGGACACAGCTGGGGGGGAGGTAAAGGCAGACTTGAGCCAGGTGTACTGATCCCAAGAATCCTGCTCCTTCCAGCTAAACAAATGGCAATCAGTTGCCGAGGGCAAGGCAGGCAGTAGAGGGAGAAATAGAAATGTTCCTTATTTTATCATTTTATCTAAAGCCACCCCTTCTTATATTCCTGGGAACACCCCCCCCAAAAAAAAAAACACCCTCAGAGAGCAGGGGGCAGGGGTGAGCAGGAGTTTTACCAACATGTGACACTGATCTGGCCCTCGCCACTCACACCCCGCAGTCCAGGTGGCCTAGAGGGATGCTCTGCGGTACCTTCTTCCAACCCCTGCGACAGACAGCAGAGTGACAGGCTAGGACAGGGACCCACCAGAGGGCAGGGCAAGGTGTGAGTGTGTAGGGTACGGGCCTCAGTCTCGCTCTCTAGGGTCTTACTTCCTGGCTGCTCATCTCAAACTCTGGACAGAGCCAGCCTAAAACCGAGATGTGCTTTCCACTTCCCAGAGCCCAAAGGGTGTGCCAGCAGCAGGCTCCAGCAGAAGCCGCATCACAGAAGGTGCAGGCACTGGCAAGAGCAGCCCCCGGCAACACCATGCATGGGCAGAACCTTCAAGAAGGCTCCCAGGCCTGCGACTTCTGTGCCATCTCTTCCCGGTACCTGGAAACTGCATCTGTTACCATCCGGGACAGATGCATCTTGTCTCTAGGGCAAACAGGAAGGCAATAGGGGGCCTCGATGGTGCACAAAATCAAGAGATCCAGGAGTCTTGCCTCCCTGCTGATCTCCAGAGCAAGTATCCTCCCAGGTGGGGCAGGGGGCCGGTCCAGTCTCCATGGTTAATAACCGTTAACTTGTAAGCCCTTCCATTCCTGCTGGAAGGCATGACCCTGCGATCATTCTTTTCAGCATTGCTGCTGCTCAGGTTGTAAATGAAAGAGCTCCTGCCCCTATCATTCTGCCTCTTTAGGAAGACAGCTCTGGCTTTGAGTGGTCCCGCAGGGAGAGAGCAGCCTGCCCACGCGGTGCCCACCCCACTCCAACAAGGAAGCACGCCATGTGACCGGCTTCCTGAGCCCCCTCCAGTCCCCCTTGTCTTCCTTCAATTGCTCCAAGTAACAGAACATCCTCCTGCTCCAAGAGGCGGACAGACTAGATGGGAGATAGGGTGTCAGGGCTCACCTGGAACAGAAACATTGTGGATGTAGGTGGTTTCCGGGGCTGCAGGGTGGTGCATGGGAGCCTGCTCATGTGTGTCTGCATATTTGTGCATGTGTTCAGGGGCCTGGGTAATTTCATGTGCAGTAAGTATGTGTCTGTGACCGGCTGTGTGTAGCTGGGCATGTGTGGCCATGTGTGTATCCGCGTGTGTGTGTGTCCCAGGCACAGTCCTGAGTGAGCATGAGCCGCACATGGCAGTGGGGGTGCTAGTGTGGGGCTGTTGGGTAGAGGGAAGCGTGTTGGTGTGGGAACTAGAAAACTTGGGTGTGAGTCACAGCTTCGTGTCTTAGTGGCCAGAGGACCTGTGGCCGGTCACATACCTTTCTAGACCTCAGGTCCTCCATTTGTTAAATGATCCCTAGTTGCCTTCAGGGACACTGTGGGGCTGAAACCCTGGGCCATACAAGTTGTGTGCAGCCTCTGTCTGCCCCCAGGCCTCCCCCTCCCTGACCTGCATGCTTGCCCCAGCAGGCTCAGCCTCTGAAAGGCCCGGTCGCTGCCCCAATAAAGGTATGACACATGTGTTGTACTAGTGCCGGAAGAAGGAAAGGAAACGTGGCCCATCCTTGACGCCGGAGGTACTAGCCCCCAGCAGCCGCCAAGCACCTGCTACACGCTGCAGCTTTCAGTGTGGTGGCACTTGCTCACCACGGACTCATGAGGCAGGTACCAGTAAGGCCACTTGTCCCAGTCACACAGACAGGAGGTGACCAAGCTAGGATTGTGAGCTGGCCCTTCTGTCTGTCCCAGAGCCTGAGCTCTTCCCTAGGAGGGGCTGACCCCTGCGGGCCCCACGCCAGCCTGCTGACTCCTTTCGCCTTCCCTGAGCTCACATGGCCAGCAGGACCCTGCCTCCGGCTGCACCCTCTGCCCTGCCTTCTACTCGGGAGGGCTGGGAGGGCTGGCCCCTGGGGTACTCGGCCACAGGGACAGGAGGGCGCAGGCTGGCGTCTGAGCCACCACGTCCCTTCCTGAGACTCCACCTTAGTATTCCTCAGTTGGAGAAACTGAGGCTCTCACATCATCCTCACCACTGATAAGGTGGACAGGAACAGGGCCTGGACTGGGGCTGGGCGAAAGGTTTGGGGTCCTGGGGCCATGTCATGGGGCGCAGCCGGGGCGGGCAGAGACCGGGAAGAGGGTGGGGGGAGCCAGCAAGCCCAGGCCCGGTTGGTGAAGAGGGGAAGGGAGGTGGCGCCCGCGATGGAAGGAGGGAGCCCTGCGCAGACTTACAGAGGGGCCAGGGTCGGCTTCCGGCGGGGCAACAGCGCCCCCTTCCGACAGCCTAGGGCACAGCGACGGCGGCTCCCCGCCCCCCACCCCCGCCCCGCGGCCCACCTGCCGCCCGTCCCCCCACTCCGCGAACCCCCCCACCGCCGCCGCCCGGTGCTGTGGGACCGCCTGTGCGCGGCTCCGCCTTCTGTCCCTCAGGCTCTCCGGGCCCTGCATGGTCATGCACACGGTTGTAGGCTCGAGGCGACTTCTCTCAGCCTGTTCTCTGGCTCCCAGAGGCCACAGCCTCACCTGCGGTGTGGGGGTGTTGGGTTGCTAAGCGACCCAGGCAACTGCGGGGGTGGGGAGGGCCTTGGGGGGGCCCCGGACGCTGCGGGCTCTCGTCCTGTGACCTCCAGGAGCCCGGCCCACAGCCTGGCAGCCCCACAGACATCTCAGGAACATCTGCTCTGGGAGGGGCACAGGGCTGAGCCCCCGCGAGTCCAGGCCTGGAGGAGGTGTCCTCTGGTCAGGGAGGGGCCCGTCAGCACCACAACCACAGCCGCAGCCCTGGTTCAAGCAGGAGGTGCCAGGAACACAGGGAGGCAGCCGGGGTCACCATCTACACCGTCTACACCAATGGTGTGACCCTTTTAGACCGTAAGAAAGCAGAGTTCACAGAGGTGGTGACCCCAAGGCTGCATACCTGGTAAGGGCAGGGCTGAGAGTCAACCACAGGCCTGCCTGGCTCTGGGGGAAGGGGACCGGGCAAAGGCCGGACCATGGGAAGGTGGAAGATGCCGTGGGCCGCGCTGCCCCCAGGTACAAAGATGCCAAGAGACCCAAAGAAGACAGAGCTCATGGATCAGATAGTAGCGCGCCAAAACCTTGTCTAGGGACTTCTCTGGAGGGCAAGAGGGCCATCACTTGGCCTCCTTTAGGGAAAGCTTCGCCTTCAGATGAAGGCAGGAGTGAGGTGAGCAGGGGGCAGGAGCTGTGCAGAGTGGCCTGCCCAGGGAGGCACAGGTGCGCCCGGTGGCCGGTGGCTGGCGGCCGGCAGGTACTGCCCTAACCCACGCTGGCTGGGCACGTGTCAGGCAGGCGGAGATGATGAGCGGAGGCGGACCCGGCGGACCCAGAGGGTGAGAGCTCCCCCCTGAGGTGTGCTAACTCTGAGGAAGCCTGAGAACACCAGGCTGGTGGAAACGTGTGAGACTCCAGGAAAGCCACGGGCACGCCCTCAGTGTGCAAACAGAGCAGGATCCAGGACCCTGCCCAGCGTCATGGGAGCTGGCCCCAAGTGCCCTTGGCCCGCAGCTCCCCCTCACCCACTCAGACCGTCTGTCTCCTCCCGGGGCCCTACGTGGGGTGGAGGGGGTAGGCCCAGGGGCAGAGCCAGCTCCCATCTTGGCTCCCACGACATGGTCACTGCACAGCCTATCGAAAGCAGAGAAACCTCAGCAGAGGAGCGGGTATCTCCCAGTGCAGCCCCCCGCTTCTCTCCCGCCCCTGAACAGGCAGGATGGCCAGCACTAAGCTGAGGGAAGCCGGCCTGCGGGGCCAGGGCCTGCCTGCATGCTGCACACACTTCTGAGACAGGGTGGGCTCCCCTGTCTGCTCTGCAGGGGTGCCACCTGCCAGCTGGCCCCTGGGGGCCACACTCGGCCCCGGCTGTCGGGTGCATTGACTCCTTCTAAACCATTTGTGGAGCCCCTGCAGCATGAGTGGGGACGGCCCAGCACTGTGGTCAGCACTATGGAAGAGTAACCACCTCCTTCCCCACGACCCATGCAGTTTCACAGCATCGCCATAGCCCCTTGGACCTTATCAAAACCTGGAATAATCTCTTGCAGACCATGCATTTTTATTTCCTAGGGCTTTTGGTTTGTGGTTCTGGTTCTTGTTTTTGCCTGTTTGCCTTTTTTTTTTTAATATATGTATAGAGATGAATGGATGCACACTAGATTAAAGCTGTGCAACCTGATAGGTTTGAACATATGTATAAACCTGTGAAACCATCACCGCAATGAAGATAAACATCACCATCACCCCTAAAAGAGTTTCCTTGGCTCCTGGGCCATGGCTCCTTTTCCCTTTCCTCCCCCAGCCCCAGGCAACTACTGATCTGCTTTCTGACACTCTAGGTTAGTTAGCAGTTTCTAGAATTTTGTCTAAATGGAATTATGCTGTAAGTACCCTTTTTTATCTGGTTTCTTTGACTCAGCATATTTTCCTATTACTGATGGAAAAAATGGAGCCTTGATGAGGAAATGCAAGTAGTCAGCAATCATAGAGCAGCAGAGGCATTGCAGGTGTCCTGGCTCTGAGCCTAATATGCTGTCTGCACCACTTCACTCATCGCTCACTCATTCATTCACCAGAGAGTAATTGGGCACTTGGGTGGGCTCAGCCCTGGAACTAGGTATTAGAATCATAATGGCACACAACACAGACATAATCCCTACCCTCCCTGAGACAGCACGTCATTCATTTGCTTGTTCATTCATTCGTTCACTCACTCACCTGCTTAACAAATACTCACTGCACAGCCACAGAAAACTGAACTTGGCACTGCCGCACCACCTCCTACGCCACTTTGATGCTCATTTACCATCCTCCTGTCTGCCTTTTCGAGCTGGACAGTGGGGTGATGCAGGTGGAGATCATCAGAGGTGAGCTCTGTCCTCTAGGGCCATCCAAAGCAGAAGGAAAAACTCTAAGATACTATCCTGCACTGGGAAAGCCCATGAGATTGCTAAAGAGCTAAGGCTGACCTTGCCGAAGGTATCACTCCAAACTGAGTGCAAACGTGAGTGATCCAGGCAGGGAGGCCAGGAGCTCAGGGGAGGTGGGGGCCTCCCCAAGCTCCACTGGCCAGAGCAGGCTCTGCAGACAGGGTGGGCCATGAGCAGTCCCTGGGTGAGCAGAGAGGAGTGGGAGACACAGAGGGAAGGGGAATGGTGCACCAGGTGGGAGCAAAACGGAGACAAAGACACAGAGGCAGGGCCAGGGAGAGCCCAGCAGGAAGACAGTGAGCTGAGAATTCTCTCTGGCTAAGTAGGAGGCCACGAAAACATGCACTCTGCCCAAGAGGATGTTGCATTGCATTTCTGTGCAGAATGGAGGGCAGTGGGGTGCAGGGAGGATAACACTTACAGTTTTGTAGTCATTTACAATTGACAAAGTGCTCTTGCTGTTATTATCTTATTTACTCAGTATACTCTTTGATGTGAGTATTACCATTATTTTCCCTGTTTTACAGATAAGAAAACTGAGGCTCATATAAATCCAGTAATTTGCTCAAAAATAAACAACTCCTAAGTGATGGGGCAAAGCTTCAAGCCAGGATTCTTGTCCCCAAGACCAGTCCTCTCTTTTCCCTATGTCTATAATTATCAAAATTTACTAGTCTAAATGGGGCCCATGAGCACGCTTCTATAGACCACAGAATACATTGTTCGAACTTGGCATCGTCCCACCACTTCTCGTACCACCTGACCCACTCGCCACCCCACTATGAGCTGGGGACAGATGTGACAAAGAAGAGATCAGGAGGAGGGAGAAGGCAAGTGGCCTGGCTTCCAGGAGAGGAAGTTAGTCATTTGGCCAAGGAAGCCCTTCCTAGTCCCCACATGCCTTCTGCCTCTGGCCTCCAGAGAAGGCTCCTAATAAGGGCCGCCTCTAGCCATTCAGAATGGTTCCCAAGCCCTTGCCCCAGAGGCACCCGGATGGTACCCCTTCCTGTCAGCCTGGAGAAAGTGGAATGGAATTCACACCAAGAAGCAGATAAGCAGGTGCACCCCCAGGACCAGCCCCTAACTCATCACATAGGTCACTTACGAAGGAGAAACTAATATTTCTCTAGGGCTTACTGAGCTCAGAGCCAGGACTCCAGCTTACATCTACTGGTTCCCAGGCAGAGATCCTAACCACTGCTCTATCCTGCCTTCAACCACCCTCTGCTCACCAGGGGCCAGCCCTTGCCACTGAGGACTCGAATCTGATGTGCTGGGTGATGAGTACATCCTTGCCCGCTCCACAGCCAAGGAAGCAACAGCTCAGTGACATCAGGTAGCTTGTGAAGGCCATGCACTCCTAAGAGGGAGGGCAGGGGCTCAGCCAGGCCTAGCCACCCAGACCTGAAGTCCACACCCAAACTGAGAAAAGAGCGCATGGGACTGATGGGACTCCAAGTGCCCCCACTTCTGTGACCCTGGCCCACTGCCCCCGACAAGGCCTCAGCTTCCACCCCAGGGTTCCCACGGACTAGCAGGAAAGGCCCCAGGCCAGGAAGCAGGCTCAGCTCACACTCTGTACCACTAGTGTGATCTTGGGAGGCCACTTAGCCCCTGTGACTCGGTTTTCCCACCTGTAAAACAGAAATCACATGTTTCAGCCTCACACAATTATGGTCATTCAGTGAGACACGAAATGTGAAACCACTTCAAAAAGACTACAACACTGCATCCTGCAAGGAATCTGAAACTCCAAGGTCATGATCACCACAGATTTTATCTCTCTCCCACCTGAACTCCAGCCTTCTTGGCTTCAGTGTCCTTGCGGCGAAACTGAAGTTAAGTGGCCCCGAGGAAGGAATCTTCGTCTGTGTTTGTGGGTATGTGAGCCCGCTGGCTCTCCTTAACCCTGCCCCCAAGGAGTGTGTGTGCACACGCGCGCACACACACACACACACACATACCCTACTTCTACCTGCCTAAAATGATTTTTTAAAATGAAATCATTCTTGGGGCCCCTGGATGGCTCAGTTGGTTAAGCGCCCAAGTGGCTTTCAGCTCAGGTCATGATCTCAGGAGTCTGCTTATCTCCCACCCTCTGCCCTCCCCCGCGTTGCACGTGATCTCGCTCCCCAACTCTATAAAACAGATAAACAAATAATCACTCCCCAGAAACATCTTAGACATATGCCAAAAGAATGCCAATGGCTGGAGCTTCTGAAGTCCCTATTATGTGAAGAATTCGGCAAAAACGATAGCTATGACTTAATGATCTTTCCACCAGATATAGCATTTGACATATGCTATCTCATTTACCGTCGCCTCCAAACAACCCTGGGCGTCACTTACAGAGGAGGGGCCCAGGCCCAGATGGCCGGCGTGCGCTGCCACAGGGGTCTGCCGGTTGCCCCCCACCTCTGTCCTCTTGTTCGCCCTCCAGACAGAATCAGCTGGGTTCTTGCGTCCACCCTGCCCCACCACTTGGCCCAAGAGGGATGGTGGTGGTCATGAGAAATGTTTGCAGCGTGAGAGAAAGCAGCCGGCTGAGGTGGCAGGGAAAAGTGTTAGGAGAATTGGAGCACTTCATCCAAATACAAAATTACCTCTTTTGTTATTGAGAAACGTTAACTTGCTGTTTCATCAGTTCACTTGCTGTTTCATTATGCCCTCTTCCGGCCGTCGTGTGCGGAGACCCTCTTGCTGGTCGAAGGGCTCCGCTCTTAGCCAGGCTGCTTCTCCGCAGTCCGCTCTCGTGATTAGTAGCAAGCTCAGCGGGTGAAAGTGGCTTTCAAGGGAAGACTGGTGTCCCAGCAGCCACGAGGTTCCTTCCCAAGCTAAAAAGAAGTCATTTTTAATCCCTTGGTGTGTCCTACCTCAATGGTCCAGAGCCCACGTAGCTGACCCCGGCCCCTGCATGATGACCTTCTTCTTCTCCACAGCTCGAGGCAGGCCGGGAAGCCTGAGGGTCCTCATGCTGCTTTCCGGACTCCCGTAGGCCCCATGTGTGTGGCTGGAAGGAAATGGAGGTTGCTCTGGTCAACTTCGAGAACTCAGATGAAATCCAGGAAGGGCCAGGCTATGCCGCAGACTTTGACACAACCAGCCCAAAAGGCCGGCCTGGGAGCAGCCCCTTCTCCAACTGGAGGATCCTCATCGGCGACAGCACCAGTCCCGAGACGGCCTTCTGCAGGCTCCCGGGAGACTATGTCGATTCCCCAGGGCCGGAGCCAGTGGTCTTGAATGAAGGGAACCAGCGGGTGATCATCAACATTGCTGGGCTGAGGTTTGAGACCCAGCTCAGAACCCTCAGTCAGTTCCCTGAGACCCTCCTGGGAGACCGGGAGAAAAGGATGCAGTTCTTCGACTCCATGAGAAATGAGTATTTCTTTGACAGGAACCGGCCCAGTTTTGATGGAATCCTGTATTATTACCAATCAGGTGGGAAAATCCGGCGCCCTGCCAATGTCCCCATCGACGTCTTTGCTGATGAAATCTCCTTCTATGAACTGGGTAGCGAGGCCATGGACCAGTTCCGGGAGGATGAAGGCTTCATCAAGGACCCTGAAACACCGCTCCCCACCAATGACTTCCACCGGCAGTTCTGGCTCCTCTTCGAGTACCCGGAGAGCTCCAGCGCTGCCCGCGGTGTGGCTGTGGTCTCTGTGTTGGTTGTGGTCATCTCCATCACCATCTTCTGCCTGGAAACACTACCGGAGTTCCGGGAGGAGAGGGAGCTGAAGGTGATGAGAGACCCCAGCCTCAACACGAGTAAGACAGTCCTCTCCCACACCATGTTCACTGACCCCTTCTTCATGGTGGAGTCCACATGCATCATGTGGTTCACTTTCGAACTGGTGCTCCGGTTTGTGGTCTGCCCCAGCAAGGCCGACTTCTTCAGGAACATCATGAACATCATTGATATCATCTCCATCATACCCTACTTTGCAACCCTCATCACAGAGCTGGTCCAGGAGACAGAGCCCAGCACCCAGCAGAACATGTCCCTGGCCATCCTGAGGATCATCCGGCTGGTGCGGGTCTTCCGCATCTTCAAGCTCTCCCGGCACTCCAAGGGGCTGCAGATCCTGGGCCAGACGCTCAAGGCGTCCATGCGGGAGCTGGGGCTGCTCATCTTCTTCCTCTTCATTGGGGTCATCCTCTTCTCCAGCGCCGTCTACTTTGCCGAGGTGGATGAGCCAGAGTCCCATTTCTCTAGCATTCCTGATGGCTTCTGGTGGGCAGTAGTCACCATGACAACCGTGGGCTATGGTGACATGTGCCCAGTCACCCCTGGGGGGAAGATTGTGGGCACTCTGTGCGCCATCGCGGGGGTCCTCACCATTGCCCTCCCTGTGCCTGTCATTGTCTCCAACTTTAACTACTTCTACCATCGGGAGACTGAGAATGAGGAGAAGCAAAGCATCCCGGGTGAAATCGATAAAATCCTCAACAGCGTGGGCTCAAGACTGGGCAGCACGGACTCTCTTAGCAAGACCAACGGTGGCTGCTCCTCTGAGGGGTCCAAGAAGTGACCTGTCCAGGGCTCCGTGGCTCCCTGAGTCTCCCTGTCTATGTCTCTTTGTCTTTCTCTCTGTGTTTTTCTCTATGTGTCTCTCCCTTTCTCTATCTCTCTGTCTCTGTCCCCACGCCCACAGCTTCTCTCTCCCCTCCCTGCCTCTTCCTCTCTGTTTTTCCAAAGACCGAAGTTTATCCCTTGTGAATAGCAGGCCATCTTGGACTGCAAGCTGTTTGAATAAATCCATACTTCTGCTTCATTTTCTAAGCTGTTTTCTCTCAACCAACGATTGGAAGATTTCATCCTTGTTTTCTGTGAGGGGTACTTCTGGGTGCTTGCTGCTCGTCGGTGGTCCCCAGAACCAGCAGTATTGGCATCCCTGGGAGCAAGAAAATGCAGAATCTGAGCCCACCTCAGACCTACTGAATCAAAATTCTCATTTTAACAAGATCCCAAGTGATTCATTTCCACCTTAAAGATGAAGAAGCACTGGCTTTGGTCTTCCCAAGAGGAGGCATATTAAAAGGCCGGGGAATGCTGTGAGCAATGAGTAAGAGCTCCGGGTTGTTTAATAATAATATCTTACACTTGTGTCACGTTGCATAAATTTTCCAAAGCTCTTTCACCAACAGTATCTCACTGCATCTCAAAATAACCAGTAGAACAGATTTGGTTATTATTCTCACATTGTAGATGAGCAAACCCAAGGACAGCGACTTACTCAGAAACGGTGACACAATCAATGCCAGAACCCACACCTACCTACTAGTCTAGAGCTCTTTCTGTTTGTGGATGCTTTGGAATTGGAGAGAGAGGGATGTGAGGGCTCTGTCTTTCAGAGGATCCAGGCAGCAGACCTCTGGGCAGGAACACTCTTCCCTGGGGACTCCAGCATCTCCACGAAGCCTGGGGAGTCACAACCTGCCCGGCCCTTTGCTCCTCAGTCCCCTCCTTGGGCAGTGGACAAGCAGAAGCACTCCCAGGTGCTTCTCACCTGGCCCATCTCTGTGAGTCCATGCACAGGCTGGCAATCTTGAGTGTGGGAAATGTGTGCAACCAGAGCCTCGGAGCTCTGCTCCAGGAAAATAGACCTGTCCGCCTGCCTTGGGGTTCAGTTCCCACTGAGTTATGAGCAATTGACTACAAACCTGTGGGGCAGCTGGAGTGAGAGCGACAAGGCCCTAACACATGTGCCCAGATTCCAGGCCCACCCAAGGAGGGTGGTTATAGCAGGCTCACCCGAGGAACTGCCCTCTTGGGAGTGGATCCTGCTCAGCACACTACACTCCCAGGATTAGGAAATGGAGTTGGAATTCCCCAAAAGACAGAGAAGGAAGTTTTTACTCTATGCTCACCACCACCACTACCACCATTCATCCCCTCAAGTAAGGAGGCCTGCACCTTCCTCAGGCCCAATGCCTAAGTCTGGACGTATCTCAGAAGTGCATCAGCATCAGAATTCTGGGCATCTGGGCTGCAGGTCACTGCCCAGTTCCACTTCACACAGTCCAAACCACACAATCCACAGCACACAATCTGGAGCACACCCAGCTCCACACACCCTGCCAGACCAGAGATACCACCACCATCTCCCATTCCATGACAGCCTAACAAATGCACTGCTTCTCTTCTTTCTTGTTGTCCTTAGTCCATGCCCTAAGAAGCTGGACTTAGTCATCTGTATGGCCTTTCGTGCTCTAAAAACCCCAATCTCTTTCCCATACTTTAGCCTCGAGCTCTCACTTAGTACTGAGTCATGTAAAACCTGGATAAGACATCACTGCGCTAAGACCTGGACAAGCAGGATTCCTGTCCTAGGCCTGAGCTTCAAGGTTCTGGGCTTTGGGGTATCTTCCTCACAATCTTCTAAGTCCCTTTCTAATTGCTCTCTTTCAGACCACTTTCCAATTCCCTACCCATCCCTCATTCCTAAGTGTGTGGAGCTGGCCAGATGTCACAAGGCACTCCTGGATTCACACATGTGGGAGCATGCTGAAGCCCTATGCTGGGCTCTGGCTCCAGGCTGGTGGCCTGGTGAGCGGATTGCTCCCCCTGGCTGGTGCAGCATCTCTTTTACAGGATCACAGCCTGTACAGGTGCAGCCGAGAAGGGGCACAGGGAAGCCTGGCCTGGAGCATACCCCCTGCCTGCTGCTGCTTCCCCCTGGGGCTGCTTTGCCTGGTGGACAGGATCAGAGGAGCCCAAGGGGACCTAGGACCCCTTCTCTCTCTAAAGGCCTAGCTCTGAAGGTCACTCACAGGACCATGTCTCAGACCCTTTTGCAGTTTCCCAAGGCAACACCTGAGCTTCCAGAAGGCCACCTTCCTCAAGTACCCTGGCAGTTTGGCCTCCGGAGGCAGTTTGAACTGCTCCCCTCACACTGCCCTCTGCCCAGGCCCAAGGCAGGCCTCTCTCCCTGGAAGTCCTGCCCAGATCACCTCCCAGCAGCTGCAGAGGAATCGGTGGGGTCTGCCCACTAGTGACAAGGCCCCCTCCCTTTCTGTTAGGTCCTGGCGGGGAGGACAGGAGGAAAGGGGACACTCAAAGAGCCCCTGCCCTCCTCCACAGCTGATTCCAGCCTTCTAAAAAATAAAACGCATTCCCCCATGGAGTGGAGCCTCCAAAGGCCCTTTGAAGTGAGAGGAGTAAAGCCACCCAGTGTCCCCAGAGACCACAGTGTCTGCCCAGCCACATCCCTGAGACAGGAGAACGGCTGCCCTCAAACACGGGGATGAAAAGGCACCAGGGGTGGCAGGGACCTGGGGTGATGAGTAAAAGGAAGATAACACCAACTTTCGTTATTGCCTCTCAGGAGAAGCAGAGGGAAAAAGCTGCCTGTGAAATGTCAGCGGATGATGAATGCTATTTTACTCCCGCGGCGGAGGTGCCAGGCAGATGCACGCGGAGAACGGGGCAGCGACCCTCATTGGGAGTTTGGGGTGGAGCCTCTGCTCTTCTGAACCTGCTGCGGGCCGGGGCTGAGCCCCCTCCTTCCCACCACCACCCTAGGGCTCTACTGTTAACAGAAATAATAAATACAGCAGGGAAAAAATAACAGAAATAATAAGTGACACCAGGCTCCCATAAGATTGTCACGTGAGCTAATACATTAAATCCCTCAGCAAAGGTAAAACATGCCAAAGGTCAGATGGAAGTAGATGGAGCCGAGCATAAAAACCCCCTCACAGCTTGTAAACCCTGCGAGGCCACGGCTGTGCCTTTCCTAAGGTTATAAGCCCAGAACAGCGTCGGGTACATAATAGATGCTCAACAGATGAAGGGAGGGGAGGAGGAAGAGAAGCAAGGAAACAATCCAAGGCAGAGCCAAGGCCATAGGAGGGCTGAGTTGCAGGCCCCCGGCTCCCCCCACATGCCCCCAAATGACAATACTTGTGACCCAGTTACCTGGAGACTTTGGGCTGAAGTAACTTCCTGGCACAGAGTTTTCCATGGGGCCTGAATTCTCAATTTTTTCCAAGATTCCCAAGCAGCAGCAGGTCAGCAGTAGCCACCATGTCACACACTGCACTTTCTGGGGGGTACAGACAGCGGGCCTATTCTTCCCTCAGACAGTCTCCAGGTTGCAGCTCTGTCTGCCCCTGGGGAGGCGAAACGGCCTCTCTACGAATTAGAGCTGTCCCTGTGAATAGGAGCAAGCCACCCGTCTGCTCCCTGACTCATTCATCCCAGAGGCTGAGCAGCCTGGGACAAAGCCTCAGAGTGAGGCTAAGCAACCCTCAGCCCCACTGGGAGGCAGCCCGTTACCATATTCCCCTGGGAAGACTCTGAAGCTGGGGGCGGGGGCCGGGCGGGGTCCACAAACCCTGTCTGGAGGGAGCCTGGCTGGAGAGAAGAGAGGGATGGGGACGGTCTCGTGGCCCTGAGGACTAAGGTACCAGATGCTTCCCTGGGTGGAGAAAGGGAAGACACGGCTTCCCTTTCCCGACACAGTGTCCGCCTCATCTTGGAGATGACGGGACCGCCGCAGGGCTGGAGGACCAGGGCGCTGTGGCTCTCTTTCTCTTCTTTGGGACCACAGGCGGCCACAGAGGAAGTTAGGCCTGGGAGCTGGGGGCGGGGTGCCCGAGTCCAGCGTGTTGGAAACCGAAGGGGCTTTTCTTTAAAAGCTTCAGTAAGTGAGTAGGAAGAGCAATGGGCTGGAGCCTTCCTGGAAGCTGGATGAAGAAGGCAAAAGACAGAAAAGACTAAAGGTTAAAAATAGTTACTTGGACAGCAAAGAGGCGTTGGGATGACCCGAGGCTGGTTACGATTTCCTCTGAAGCATCGTATGTAAGTGAAATGCTCAGTTCGACTGTTTTAATAGTAGGTGGGAGCTTTTTTCCTGGAAATCAGACGTGGATCACTCTACTTGGTAGGGAAGCTGCCTGGAGCGTCGGCGTGTGGAAGGAGCCCTGATTTTACAGCGCGAGGTTCGGATCGCAGTTTTGCTGTGTGACTGTGACCAGCTTACTCAAACTCTCTGAGACCCAATCCTTTTCGACTGTAAATTGGGGCTCATTGTGCCTACTAGGGACGTCAAGAGAATCAAATGAGACGTCATCTATAACCCCCTTTCGTAGAATAGGAACTAAATAAGGAAATTTCCCCCTTCGTGAGGGATCTCCAAAAACTATTCAAAATGTAAGCAGGGCCCTTGCCTCTTGGTTGCAGCATACCTGAGTTCAAGATGGGGCAATAGGTACCAGCAGCCACTGTGGGTGCCTAAGATACTCTCATTCTCCCACAGAGTAGGAATGCCCACCTCCAAGCTTCCCTGGACACCTCTCTGTGTTCTCAGAATTCCCTCCCATCCTAGGATTTATTTAAAGATTTTATTTATTTATTCATGAGAGTCACACAGAGAGAGAGAGAGAGAGAGAGAGAGAGAGAGAGAGAGGCAGAGACACAGGCAGAGGGAGAAGCAGGCCCCATGCAGGGAGCCCGATGTGGGATTCGATCCCAGGACTCCAGGATCGCGCCCTGGGCTAAAGGTAGGAGCTGAACCGCTGAGCCACC